ATTTCAGGCCAATTTGGATTGCAAGTGAATGTTACAAATAAATCAGGAAACCCTACCTTGCTACAAATAGCCATTCCATCATAGTACAATTGATCCATAAACCTCCTTCCACCAACATAAGTAGAAGGCAAAACCACTCTTTTTCCTGTTGAAGAACCATGTGTTTCACTTTGTTCACCCACTTCAGTAAGACTGTTGTATTTCGACACCCTTAATTTGGGTTGATTTTCACGAATCCATTGAAGTCTTTCGGACTCTAACATTGTGTAACCATCAACTAAGAATTGTTGAAAAATCCTTCTTGAAGACAACAAAGTTTTAGCCTCAAATGATCTGTTCTGAATGCGAAATGCTAGCCACTCTCTAATTGTAAGTCTATTTCTCTTGTTGTCTTGGAATATGTCCAAGTCTCTATGAGCTATGTTTGGTCTATAACCATCTTCTTCATAAAAGAAAATTAAAGGATATTGATACGCCAAGTAACTTGCATGGAGCTCATTAATTCTTTGTAACTCTCTACCTTTAGTTTGCATGATGATATCCCTCATTTCTGCTGTATCAAGATCACCAACTATCAAAGCAGCAACCTCAGAAACAGTAGGTTGATTATATACTCTTCCATCTGTGGATCTATTAGAAATGAGTCTTAATTTCAGGTTTTGGGTATCTGAATTCAATAACCAATGTTTGGCCATTTGAAAACTTTTGGCATGAGGGTTATGCTCGTAGAGCATATCTAACAACTTTTGTACAATTACCAAATCAATGTTTTTTGTGTTCCTGTAAATGTAAATGTTTTATTATGTAAAATATAATATAGAGTAGTATGAAAGGAATAAATTGCAACATATGAAGTGTATAATTTATGGTAAGAAAGTAATGTATGTGAAATAGTTATACCTCAAACCCTGCATTCTGTTATGAACCTCATTTTCTGTGTCAAAAATATATAGTTGTACAAATTTAGGAGGCTGACCTTCTGGTGGAAGCAAACTTCCAATACGATGACATGATTGACCTTGAAATCGCAAAATGGGTGGTCCATTATGCTCTCCTTAAAAAAACTCGAACACAACACTTTGTTAGTAGCTAAAGACCTCTTACAAGCCATAGCTTCAACATCATGGCCACCATCGTTAGAAACTTCAAAGTCCAAAGCATTCAATTCCTTAATCGCCTCATCCACACCTAAATCCAACCGCCCAAAAACATCCTTGTTCCAACTTGTTAATTCCTTTTTGAGAACTTTAAGCTTTTCTACAAAGGAATAAAGAACATTACCCAACACAACAAAGACTTCCAAACATTTTCAACAAAGGGTCAAAACTCTGGGTGTTAAATCCAAACATTAAAAAACTTAAAAGGCTTGGCACCCCAATTGATAGCATTACCTTTGATCCAAATAGGACAATGATCGGAAAGAACTCTATCCTCTACAATTTGACCCTCAACCTTCCACTTAAAGACCAAGTCATCTGAAACCAAAAATCTATCCAACCTACTCATCGCCTTACCACTTAAATTAAACCAAGTAAATTTCTTCCCAATAAAAGTAAGATCAATCAACTTCATACCTTCAATTAACTCATTTAAATAAACTCTCTCACCACTATTAGATAAGGAAGTTATCCTCTTCCTTTTACCATCCTTATTAACGACATTGAAGTCCCCTCCAATGCACCACAGTCCACCCACAAAACGACATTTACACTCCTTCAACTCTTTCCATAACTTTCTCTTCAAAATAATTGAGCAAGAAGAATACACATTAGCAAGGTTGTAAGTTCCCCCTTCCAATACACATTAATCTCTAAAAACCCTTCACCAACAAAACTGAAACAAACATCAAATACAATTTTCTTCCACATAGTAAGCAAACCACTGGATCTACCATTGGATCCTTTGAAAGAGCAATCCACATCCTTGTTCCCCCATAAAGAAACCACCAAATTCTCATAAACCTCCTTCAATTTGGTTTCTTGGATAAAACAACGTCGAAATCCTCCTTCCTAATCAATTGAGCAAGATGTTTCTTCTTAACAAGACTACCACACCCTCTAGTATCATAGGATATAATATTCATTAAGAACCTAATTCGGTAGCTCCCTTATGGATATACACACCTTGGACTTCAAGCTTCAAACATCTATTTGTTTCAATATGATAGTCAACTTTCTCCTCTCCATCAACGCCAAAAGCAGCCGCCTTATCCCACAATTTTGAAGAAACATCCAAATTTTCCCTTTAAATAAACCTAGAATTTCCATGATACACATCTCCATCTGAAAACTCCTCATAACACATCACAAAACTGCCTAAGAATTTGTTGGAATAGGAATCAGATAAACTTGAGCACCTCCCAATCGACTTCGAGGAATCATTCTTTTTACAATGAGGTTGACAAGGTTATCAAACTCGCGAGTCTACTCAGACTCATAAAGAGTCCATAGACTCAACTCGCAGACTCGACTTGCAAACTCGGATGAGTCTATGAAAAATAAAAAATGACTTTCGAAAACCTTTATGTGACATATACATGACACACACATTTATTTGTAAACTTGTAAATGCCTCATATATGATACAAATGTATATAATAGAACACCATTTAACATCAAAATTTAAATTCATACTCCATAACAAATTTCTTAACAAAAAACTCAATAATAAAACAAATAAAATAGTAAAGTATGTAGTTAAAGACTTAAAGTACTAATTTCTTTTTAATTGGCTACTATATATGTAAAAGATCATACAAAAAATATTCGAATGACTTTAAACATCAAAAGTTCCAGTAAAATAATCACCTCCAATATTATTACCATTATCGTCATCGGTATCTTGAGTGTCATCATCAAACTCTGCCCCAAATGAAACACCTTCTTCGTCATTAACCAAAGTTGAATTTCTTACTGTTCCACTTTCACCTAATTCAACATTGTCACCATCACCACCACCACATTGCACAACATTAGTTATAACAACATCAACTTCCACAACATTGTTAACAATAACATCATTTTTCTTAACATTAACTTCAATTTGCTCATTTTTTTATTAGGATCTTCAACTATCCATTCATCATTTTTATGCAAGAGAATATACAAGAGAAACATTCAGGTGAAACATATAATAAAATACTTACACAATGAAGGATTAATTTACGGAAACAAATTCGAACAAAGCAAGAGACAGAACAAACGCTCGCTGTTGATGAATACAGGAAGAAACTTTGCTGAAACAAGAGAGACTAGGATATAGACTTTCTAATTCCCATACAAGTAAAAAAAAAAGGTTTTTTTTAATAAAATAGAATATTTTGGAGAGTTAGGGTCTTTTTTGGGTTTAAAAAAAACAAAATTAAAAAAACTTATAAACTCGTAAACTCATCATAGACTCGCGAGTCTATACGAGTTTGCACGAGTCTACCCGAGTCTAATTGAGTCTATATAATTTTATGCGTGAGACTACTCATTTTTTATTCCTAGACTCGTAAACTCGCGAGTTTGATAACCATGAGATTTAAGACTCGAAAAATAAGAATTTTGGAATATAAATTTTTCCTCTAAAAATTGTTATTGGATGACTGACCCATACGAAAGATTAAGACCTACCGCATCGCCCTTCATTGCATCCTACAATAAAGTGGAAGGAGCACAAACATTTCCAAGACCAGACCAAAAAAGATTACTGACAACATCTCCCAACTAGTCTGTACCCAACAATTTTAATTAAATACCGATATCTTTAAACCATTTACTTTTAAAAATCAATATTAAAGATTCTAACATATGAAACTATTAATTATCCATTATGTTTTATCAAATAAAATGTAAAGATCCACTTAGACTAATCGATTTAATAACATTATTATGTTGGTCTATAATTTAATATCAATATGTTAACTATTCTACATGTACTACTATCGCAAATTGTTGATATCTCTCTTTGATATTTACACATTTACAATAACAAAGTTCATGTTTGAGAATTGAAATTTAGTTGTTTTTAATTTGTTTAATTGAAAATAAAATAAAAATTATGATCTGTAAGTATATTATAACCGGGATAATATAACTCAATTTAAGGTTAAAGATGACTAGAATGAACGATTTTTGCTTGTTGTAAGCGTTAAATCATTACCAAATTAATTCCGTAAAAAGAGAAGCAAATTCATGAATGTGTAAAAAATTATACTAACAAAATAAATAATATTAAAAAATTAAAAAATATAAATAATTAATTACATATTTTATTAGCGAATTGCAAGTGAATATGTTTAACTAGAAACAAGCCATTGGATACAATACCCAAATTTTTAAGGCTACCCAATTGCTAACAATTTTTCTTTCTCACTTCCTTGAAGTTTTTATATATATATATATATATATATATATATATATATATATATATATATATATATATATATATATATATATATATATATATATATATATATATATATATATATATATATATATATATATATATATATATATATATATATATTCTTATATATTCTTGTAGAATTATATTTAATTTTTTAAAATATTTATATTTATATTTGTAAAAAATTTTACAATAATTTTATTTCATACATAAATAATTGTACATATCTTTTTTATTTGAGTGATTTTGGGCACATAAGTAGCAATAATAATGGTATGAGAGAAGTAATTCACATGTGATACAAGACTATCACATAGACAAGAATGCATGACATTCCTCACTTTCACCGACCTTTCTTCATGATTGATTAGTCACAACCGTCCAAATGTTACTAACTCTCATTTTACCATTTTTGTCTATGATAATAAACGTGAACATCAATCTCGTAATCATTAGTTTAACCGCCCTTACAAACTTGAAATGGAAAAAGCGCGTGGAAAAAACGTATTCCTCGTGACTACTGAACGTGTTGCTCTCACTCACCCTCAAAGTTTAAATTATGAGTGACACACTACTCCGGTGTTGTTCTCATTCATTCTCACTTCAGCACAATGCCATCTGACAATGAAACTTCAATGATGAAGATTCGAAGGAAGCCAACATGGAGGGAGAGAGAGAATAACAAAATGAGAGAAAGAAAAAGGAGAGCCATAACATCAAATATATTCAATGGACTTCGAACTCAAGGGAACTACAATTTGTCGAAAAACTGTGACACCAATGAAGTCCTCAAAGCTCTCTGCAACGAAGCTGGCTGGGAAGTCGAACCAGACGGAACCACCTATCGCAAGGTAACTCATACAATTGGCTCCTCTTCTTTCTTTAATACTTGGTTACTATGCATCTAATTGTCCATTTGTACTACATTTTCATTTTTCTAACTTAAATATCAAATGTTTTCAATTTAGTTATGAGTATGATACTTTTCCTATTCCTATGTAATTAGATTTAATAAAAAGTCATGTGTTAATAGTATTCAATGTTTTATGTTTATTTTTTCATTTTATAAAAGATGAATCAGCCTTTGTTTGGTAAATCTTTGAATTCTATCTATTTTACAAATCAATCAGTTTGATTATCTACTTTAGAACCCACCAAGGACACATCTTTTCACCAGATAGAAGACAATCGAGTAAAGGCACATCGACCTCCCAAGAAAAAGCAGACACTTCCGAATCCATATTTGGAATCTACGATATCTGCTCATAGATATGTCGATCCCAAAATCAGCCTTCATCTACATTTACTTAATAAATCTAAGTTGACTAAACATAGATCTCGAACTCCTAACCCACTTCTCTCATTGAATTTACACACATTAGACCAATTAACTCAAGGAACCTTAGAAATTCCTTTGACCCCACTTGCGACAAAAATCTCTATGAATCTCAACTAACTTCTTCTAAACCTCAATAGGAAATTTAAGGAAGGGTAAGAAAAAAATTGGGATAAAATTAGGAACCAAATTAAGAAGAATCACTTCTCCTCCAATACTAACATACACGTGCCTTCAAGAGTCCAACCACCTACAACAAAATTTAAAAGGAATTTCCAAGTTGTCTCAAGGAGAGGATTATCCCATACCGATAAACCAAGATACTTAAAAGAAAAATACCCTAGATTGAAGTGAAGAAATTCTCTCACCAAGCCGATGAGCTAAAGGATCACCCTTCTTGAACCCTCTTTGAATATTATTCTTACTAGTTATACACACATTAACTAACACATCAAAATTATCATGTAGCAGTATCCTTATAAAATTTTAATATGCTGAGTTTGATTTTGGTGTACATATTATAAGTAGTATTTGATGTGATTATTGTTTTTTTAACAGGGAAATTGCAAGGGTCCACTATACAATAATGCAGGCCGTTTCTCTTACTCACCAAAACCAAGTCTTGTTTCTCCATCTTTTCCAACTCCAATTCCTTCATACCAATTGAATCCTATGTATTTTCCTTCCGGGGTGATGTCAAACACTGCCCCTGTGACACCTCCTGTCTACTCACAAACATGGGATTCCATTTCCAATTACCCTTTTGCTGCATCTTCTACCCTAGGTAGCTCCAAACACCAAAATATGCATACCCCAATGAACTTCCAGCCTTTTGCACAATCACCATCCCAGGTTCCATCTACTTCATCCTTCAAAATTTTTGGGGTTCACATACAGCCTAGGATTGAAAAAGAAAATCATGAAGAGAGGTTCAGTGATTTGAAACTCACACTTGGAATTGGGAAAGGAAGGAATTAGGCATCTATGGAATGAGAATGAGACAAGAAGATTGTGTTTAATGGTTTTTGTTGTTTTTCCAACTTGTTTTGGGTATGTATTTTGTTTTCATTCGTGGATGATTTGTTTCTTTGTTTGTGGATGCTTTGGTACTTTGCTTCCATTTTGATTTTTCTTAAATGATATCATGTGTGCTATCCTAGCACAATTTATCATGGTAAGTATAAAAGTCTTTTTATATTATCTAGTGTTAGGTTTTGCGATAAAAAATCATTGATTTTGCTTAAAATTGAATTTAAAAAAAAAAAAAATATATATATATATATATATATATATATATATATATATATATATATATATATATATATATATATATATATATATATTTTAAAAAAACCAAATATTTATTTTAACATGCATTTTCGATGTATGCCTCGTTTTTCTTCTACTTAGTACCAAGCCCCGTGTTGGGTTCCGTTCGTTCCTCCATTTCAAAGCAGCTATGGATTCCGAACCTGCTGCTCCGTCACCGAACCCCAAACCAAACCTACCAACCCCAAGTAACGCCGTTATTTCCTCCAAACCAAAACAACGAGACTTATTAACCCATTTGGAAGCTTACCTCGCCAAACGTGACGGCGTCGACAAGCTTCTCAAGATTTGCCGTTACGTCGCGAAGCTGATCGTCGCTTCGTCCGTCCTACCTTTGGACCCGAACCTCTCCCACCGTCTCAAAAGCTTTGAATCTAGCGTCGGCGTGAGTCGGAAAGCTTTCCGGCTCGGGAAATTTGTTCAAGACCTCAACGCGCTTCGTAACACGCGCGTGGATTCCACGACCGAGTTGATCCTCTCCGTGATCGCTTACGGTAGCGAGGGATTATACTTTTTTGTTGAGCAATTCGTTTGGTTAGCGAAAACCGGTTTGATCGATCCGAAGCGTTCGAAAATTTTGACGAAGGTAAGCGCTTATGCGGAACTCGTTGGTTATTTCGGTAGTGTGACGGTGAAATTTAGGGATTTGGGGGTTATTGTTGAGGAAGAGGGTTGTTTGAAATCTAGCATTGAGATTGAGGGTTTGAGAGGTGATGATTTCGGAGAGAAAGAATTGAAGTTAGCTAAATTGAGAGAGAAGAAATTGATGAAGAGGTTCTCAATTGTTCAGGATTTGGCTGATGGATTGATGGCTTTGGATGATATTTTGGACGGGAATGCGCCGTTTTCGAAACCGATTGTGCTGTCTTCTGCAGGGCTTTTATCAGCACTCATTAGCACTCACAAGAATTGGGTCTCTTGCTGAGTTTCTGGTGCGTTTGTTTGTTCTATCTAGTTACATAGTCTTAGACTCGATATTTTTTCAATAAAATGTGGTATATTTATCAATAATTCATAAATAAAATGGTTACATCTTGTTACAATGGTTTGTTTGGCAGAATTTTGGTTTAATATATAGTAGTTTATACCAAAAGTAGGTTATAGTATTCAAAATTTTGTTGATATTGATGCAATCCCTGATATGGCAGAGTGTTGTGGTCTAACGGTGTTAGTGTAGTCTCAATCACGGCTGCAGAGTCATTTAAATCAAAAACCTTGATATCGCGGAGGCACGGATATCTTATTAGTAGGATCAATATAGTAGTCATGTTTTTTCAGGATCAATATAGTAGTCATGATTTTCTTGATATTGCCGTAATCTTATAGATTATATATCAGGGAGTGTTGCAGTTTAATTTGGCTAGTGCAGCCTCAATTGTTGTTGCATACATTTTCTAGTTAAACTCTGACAGTAGAATCAATATTGTGTTGTATTTGATTATATGGTCAATTTGTGGATTTCTAATGAAATGGTTAGATAAATAGCTGGTATAGGTTATTGATGCTTTCGTAGCAAGTGTTATATAACAACACAACACTGAAAGTATGGAAGAAAAAAGGAAAGAAATTGATTTAAAAGCCTGTGAAACTTGATTTGAAGAGTGTGTTCAAAATAGTGTTTTGCTAGCTTCTTCAGTGTGATAATGCAATGTCACTTGTCATAAATCTTTCAAAAAGTTTTCACACTTAGAAGAGCATTTCTGTTGTTGAATAGTCCTGTAACTTCTACTCGGTGTTTCAATCATGTGGGAGCTGAAGGATAGTTATTTCATTATCTTAGCTACATCGTTGTTTGCTAACTATCAACTTCTTTACATTGTGTGAAGATTGCTACCAACTGATTTTCATACTTTCATCTTAAACTTCGTTTGGGGGTGTTTCATTTTTTCCCCTCAATCATATTAGAGAATGGTAGTATGGTAATTGGGGAAGTCTTTTGTTGTTCAATTTGTGGATTCTGTGATTTGCCAAAGAAAAATGCCTATAGTTTTTCAAATGCAATTTAAATTATGTTGGCTTTTGTATTGTAATTACTTTACAAAGGTTTATAGTGTCATTATAGGGGCTGTAATATTTCTTAAGACACCAGAAAAAGTATCATATTTTATTCCTGGCAAATTTCAGTATATTGTGTACTTTTTTGGGCCTGTTTATCTGGATTCTTAGGTAAGCATAACACTGCATGGCTTTTACAGTAGTTAGATACTACTCTCTGCTTCATTTGGATGAATATGCAATAATTACAATTTACAACATTGCTCCAGAGATATTTCTTTCCACAGATTAACAGAATCTGATTCTCAGGAATATTGTGGTTCTTACATGCTTTTGTACCAGCCAAAATCTTTAGAACAGTATCTAATTGCATCATATTTGGATTTGCTCAATTGAGGCTATTTGTTATATCTTGTGGTCAAGGGTTTAATATGTTCTCTATTCTATATGGTGTAAAAAGTTGGAGGCTTTGTGGAGAGTCAGCTTGTTTGAATTCGTGATAGAGTAAGTGGTTTGGTAGTTTGTTATTCTTTCACCATTGCCTTGGTGTAGAGGCTATTTATTTTAAAGTGTAGAAGAGCGGTGGATGTCGTGTTGAATGTATGGTAAAAATAGATGAGATAAGATTAGAAATGACAATATTAGAAATAGTATTGGGTAACATTCATAGTAAAAAAAGATAGTGAAAAATAGACCCAAAGGTTTTGACATGTAGAGAAAAGACATGTGAACTCTATAGTAAAATGAGTAGATCAGGTAGAAGGTAGTCAAATATGTAGGGAAAAACTTAGAAAAATCATTGAAGAAATTATTTAAAAAAGATTTTGAGATTAATGAGTTAGATAAAAATATTGTTTTGATAGAATATTATGCGTAGTTTGATCAATTTGATCCATATATAATATTATGGTGTAGTTTAATCCATTTGATCCATTTGGGTCATTTCTAATAGAATTGGTCTTGTGTTCACTCGCTTGGACAATTCACCATTTCTAAGGGTATTACTTATGAGCATTTCTTTTTGTATTTTATAGACTTCTTTCACATCATGTGATTTTCACATATGTTCCTTAATTTCAGAGATATATCTTCGGGCGCATTAAATTTCAATTAAACGTTAAACTAATTTGTAAATATATCCAGTTCATTATTTAAGATCTTTCAAATCATAACTTTCGGGTAAGTTTTTCAACCACGGGTTTAGCATCCGGTTATAGTCTGGTCAACTACGGAATGCTTAATGCAGCCCTGGAGAGATGACATTCTGAGATGTCTTCTTTTCATTTCCTGCATGGTGAGATGTCTATCACCTTGAACGATGTCTTATCTTTGTTGCATCTTCAATTAGGGGGAGATTCTTCCATCATGGTAGGATGACCTAAGACGAGGCGATCGATATGATGGTGGAGCATCTGGGGGCTGATTCAGAAAAGGCGTTTGGGGAGGTGGATAGGACCAGGGGTGCTCATGTTAGGTTTTCGTTCCTGAAGAGGTTATTTGATGATGGAATAGTTGGTGCACAACAGGCTGATGGTGATGTTGAGTAGGTTACCTTACATAGGACTCATGCTTTGGGGGCATATTTTTTTATTTAGTTAACACTGTAATTTTTGTGGACACGAGTGCTACGTATACTGACGTTTCATACCTTTGGTACTTGTTGGATCTCTTATCTGGATTCAAAGTTGAGAGATGGATGTTAGTGGAGGATGAAGTAGATCATAGACAGCACGAAACTACTAGTAGTAATAATTTTCGTACCTTGAATGTTTTTTTTTTCATTTTCATTTCACATTTGTGATAATTCTTGATCTCTGAATGCTTTTTATTTTCATTTTGGTTTGACATTGACAAGGGTATATTCTCTGAGGGCTCTGCTGTGTGGAGAGTACTGGATTTCATGGTTGCGAATGCGCAAGGGGCACTATTGTACTGCAGACATCGTGCGAGGACGGGATAATTGATGGCTGAAGAGGCAGACCAGACAGAGGAGGTATTTGAGAAGTTGTCAGGCACATTTAGTAGTTGTCTGTATTTATTTTGTTGCAGAACTATAGTTTGTATATTTTTTCTAACATTGTTACTACAATTTGGATTTTGTGTCGTACGACATTTTATTACTATATTATTTTGTATGTCTGATATTTTTATGAAGAAGAGCTCTTCTTGTCCTAGGTTATAGTTTTGATGAAGACAAACACATCAACAAAAAAAAGAGTCAAAGATTGAAGACTAGAGCATTCAAGTTTAAATTATCAAAAAGCTTTGGAAAATTAATGGAAGAATCAAAATGGTTGAATATGCATTACAATTCAAGTATATATATCTTAATTGCTCATAAAAACCATGCATATTCATCTTAAACCTTTCATGAATATTTTAAAATGATTTTTAAATTAATTATTTAGTTTTTGTTAAATTATGGCGTTTTGAACCGCCGTAATAACACTTTAAAACTGCCACAATTCGCACAATTTTTTTAAAAAGTGTTTTTTTTTTATGTTGCAAGAGGTTAACCGATTAACTATTTGCTAGTGCAAATGTGTTAATTGATTAACATTGAACCAGTGATACTTTTTTATGAAAATTTTGATGTATACGAATTTTTGAAAGCATTTTTGAACCATGACATATTTTCATGTATTTGTACACTTTTAGAAAGGTGTTAATGCATTATATAAACCATACCATACTTTTCAGAATTCAAACTCATCCCTCTTTCATAACAATTTATAACTTATATTCTCTCATTTTCAAAATCAAGTGGTCTTAACATAACTTTTTGTTGAAATTTTTGCACACCAATTTCATTACGTTTTCAAATAGTTTCAACTACATAAATCATTAAGCACTTGTACTAAATATTAAGAATTGTCTACTTGATAGAGAAGATCAATTCTAGGAATTGATATACATTTTTATACAAATTTAAACACTTGTAAAAATTCAGATTGTTGTAATTTCTTTGTTGTCCAAGATTGTTGGAAGCAAGAGAGTTAATAAGGGAGGATTGTTCTCTTGTTGCACTTTGTAAAGATCATAAGGAGATTGTCCTTATTGATTGTGTTGCTTATGTTATAAGATTGTAAGATAGGTCTTGGTGGAAGACTTGTACAAAGATCTGATATAGTGAAAATCTCTCACGGGGAGTGAGGGGACTGAAGTAGTCTCGGGTTGTGAGGGAAACCAGGATATAACTTTGTGTCCTTTACTTTTTGCATTTATTTTTTAGCATATTTACTTTCATACCATTTTTGAAAAATAAAAAAAGCAGTGCTAACACTTCAAATAGAGAAAAATTCAATATTCACCCCTCTTAGAGACCGCGCTTAAACTAACAATTTTATATTTCATCTGCGAGCATATATACAGCGTGTTATAAAAAAACCGTTCTTATACACTTCAGAGATATATCTCCGAAAAATTTCCATAGATATATCTTCGAAAATATTCAATTGAAAATGGTTTATGGGAGATACGTTGTGACTGTTTAAGGTTTAAATAGTTTCAGAGATATATCTCCAGAGTATTATTAACGTTTAGTCAGACGTGAGGTGGGTTCAGAGATATATCTCTAAAATCTGGGGGTATATGTGAAAATTCATATAGTAAAAAAGAAATGTATGAGGTGCAATAAGAAATGCTCTTAGATATTGGTATTGTGTTGTTGTTTATGACTTTCCTATATATTGTTGGCACATTTGTATGAGGGCATATCAGGAGTATTAATGCTCCTTGCCTCATATTTGATGATTTTAATGAGATTAAAAGTATTCATGAAGTCATCAGGTTTTCCTTAACTTTTCTAGTGCGAATGTTTTCTATGCGATGAACCATTGTAATAAGAAGGATATGGACACACAAAGGGGCTACCACTTAGTGAAAAGTACTCATCTTCACATGCACATTGGAAAATGTCTTGTATGTTTT